ACCAGAAATGTAAAATGTGAGTAACTGCAACAGAGGTCGTCTGGATCTGGAAATGTTAAAATCGGTTTTAAAGCACTGCTGCATTTCAGTTCTGCCTCCCCACAGCTTTGTTCCTTGTGGGCAGACCTGAGGAGCCACGGAGCTGCGTGTCCGGGGTCACGTCTGCACATGCAGAGCCCTGGGTCTGGTGGAGCAGAGCCTGACAAGGACCTGCTGCCTGCCAGGACCTGCCACCTCCAGAGCCCCAGCCCCTGGCCACGGAGCTGCAGAGCTCCTGCGTGGGGACGGCCCTGGAGCTCTGTCACTTTGGGTGTGACTGTCACCTGTGTGTGCCAGGTGCTGCTCTAGACAGGGCTGAGCGAGCTCAGTGCTGCAGGGAACGGGGATGAGGGGCAGAAAGGCCAGAGGAGTCATCTGATTTGACACAAAACATGCTTCTGGCACTGGGATGAACTCCTGGGAGCGTGTAGCCAGGGGGAGCAGCACCATCCTACGGGAGCAAAGCATGGGTCAGGTCGTAACCAAACTGCAAACCCAACTGCACCAAGGAGATGACACAAAACATGACTGCTTCTGGCACTGGGATGAACTCCTGGGGGCATGTAACCAGGGGGAGCAGCACCATCCTACGGGAGCAAAGCATGGGTCAGGTCGTAACCAAACTGCAAACCCAACTGCACCAAATAGCAGAGGTTTGTACCCAACCCTGGGGAGAATTCTGCCCGCATGGTGGAAGAGGAGATGCTGGGACCATGCTGGGTGGTGGAGCTGCAGCTCCCAGGAGCACAGGGTGGGGTATCCTCACCCCTGGGGAGGGAGAGCATGGGGGAAAATGGAAGAAAGTGGAGGCAGAGAGGAACAATAATAATGGAGAAAGGGGGGTTGACTGATGGACATAAATTATTACATATTTAGCTTTCCTCTGAATCAGTGGGAGTATAATTAACAATCTGGTTCTGGCAGCTTTGGCTTCAGCACGGTGTGCACAGGAGGGATGGGCCCAAGAGGGGTCTGGGCCACCATGGGTTTAGCACAAGATCAAAGCTGTGGAAACGGCCCAGCAGAATAAACAGCTCCTGCTGCTTTTCCTGGAGAGCTGTGCAAAAGCACCTCTTTGGGGGCACATGCAGTACAGGGCAAGGGCTGCAAGCCACCCCATGGCAAGGCTTAACCAGCCCTGGGGTTTCAGACACACACCTTGGATGTCAACAGGCAAAGGGCAGGTTGTGCAGGGCATGTGCTCCCTGAGGAGCCCGGCGTGGCTGCTGGTGCCCATCCCTGCAGCAGCGGCTGCCGGGCACAGCTGGAGCTGCTGCTTGCAGCGGGGAAGCGAAAGCGCAGCGCTGACCACAGAGCCTGGGCAATCTCCCTGAGGAAACGCAGGCTGCAGATCTCTGGCAGGAAGCTGCTCGCAAGAGCCCTTTCACCGCTGATAAGCACCGCGGCCACGGCCTCGTGCACTTACAGCAGGTTCTCAGTGGCTGGTGGCTCCAACGCCCTTCACAGGAGAATTAGAGCTACTGGGGAGAAATGCTGTTGCCTTGCCAGGTTGTTTATCGTAATTCTTCATGCATCTAGTCACATATAAGTATTCCCATTTCTTACAGGGACTTGAATTATTGACCAGTGTAAAGCTGAATTCTACTGGTACCACAAGGGCTTAAGATGGCAGCAGTGGAAAAGGCTGGGATCAAGGTGGGTGTGTATTTTAGAACACCCTTTTTCTTCTCTGAATATTCATGGCCTCAAGGATACTACACATGTATTTTTGGAAGATACCTTGCTACTTACAACTGAGCTGTTGGTGACCTGAATAAAATAAAAATCAAAAGCAAACTTCTGGGATGCTTTACTTGAAAAACAACATGCATTTCCACATACAGAAATCTTTGGCTGCAGTTATTTTGGGTGCAAAGGCAGGACCCATTGACGAAGCTCTGTCAGTGCCAAGCTACAACTGCACTCCACTACAGAGATAAAAAAGGGAACAGAGTGATAAGTAGTTTTCTGTTAATATGACAAGGTAACAGCACTTTGCTGGCAGGAAATAAGATGTAAGGTTCAAAAAACAAAGGTGATGTGCAGCACCAACAGCTGCTGTGTTACGTGTCCCCAGCTCTACTCTTACATGGGCAAAGGTGTGTATGGAAGCCTTTCCCCAGCGTGCTGTGCCAGAGCCATGCCATTCCCACAGCGGGGACAGCCAGCAGGGCTGGCTTCTGCTGCCCTGGCTCATGTGGATTCCATTCCCCAGCTGACCCTGCTGCAGCGGAGTGCTTTCCTGCGTGGGCAGTCTCTCCCAGTCTGGCTGGTGCACTCAGGCCTCATGAGCCTGAGGCAGAGCCCTCCTTGGGACCCTCGAGCCTGGGCTGGAATAGTTCCCATCACCAAGGAGGGATTTACAGCAACTTCCCTTGACTTCCCAGAGGGTTTAGCCACATATCAATGGCCAAAGCCATCCCCCTTCCCCAGCTTCTTCAGCCCAAGGAATGGCAGAAAGGATTCTGCCTTTCAGAGACCTCAGGAAGGCAGACAGACCAAGGGAGAGTTGGGGTCCTGGCACGAGCTGCCTTACTCTGGGATGAGCTCCTGGCAGCAGTGCTGCAGCTCTGGCACCTGTGTAAGGTTGTGAAGGGGTTCATCAAATAGCTTGGTGTCCATGTCATCTGTGGCCTCTGGCTGGCTGCAGCCTTCTCTGGCAAAGCTTCACCAGTGTGAGAGTGGCTATGGTGACATTCCATCTCTGAAAGTATCCAAGACTGGGCAGTGCTTGGAGCAGCCTGGTCTACTGCAGGTGTCCCTCCCATGGCAGGGGGGTGGGATGAGATGAGCCTCAAGGTCCCTTCCAACCCAAACCAGCCTGTGAATCCATGAGCAGAGGGTCTGCCCAGCTCGTGGTGGCATACCTGAGTGTCTCTGGAAGCAGCAGGTCATGCTCTGCTGAGGCTCAGCACATTGTGAGTTACAGTTTGAAGCTGGAAACAAAGAGTGCAAGACAGCTTCTGCTTAAAAAAATTTCCTTAATTTAGGAATTGCTTTAAGCCAACATTACCTCTGCTTCCTGAGCACACACAAGGCTACTGCCCTGGAAATAATCTGCATTAGCCTTACTGGAGTGACCACGTTGCCATAGCTACTGTTGGTTTCTCTATACCTCAAGCTTGAAGTGTTTATTATGATTAAATCCCATCCCATCCCATTCTTCATTAAAAAATTCTGGGTCGAGAGTGTCACAAAGTGAATTACAATGTAATCCTTCCTTTTAAGAAGCTGTTTCAAGTAGAAATTCCACAAAGTATCTTAGACATTGATATTTGTTAAAGATCATTAATTCATGATTGGATTATTTTTCTTCAGCCATCGCTGCTTCTTTATTCTTTATGATATCTGAGTAGCAGAAACCCCTGGCACTGCTGGATCATTTCATGACTGGGATTTTTCTTCCACTACTAGAAAAAGAAAAGGTGCTTAACACTCTCAGACACTCAGCTTTGACCACAGAGCTGGCCTTGCAGGTTTGAACCAATTTGGCAAGGAAATCAAAATCTGTCTTATGGCACAGGTGGTTATCAGGAATGCTGGTCCTTGCTCTCTGAATCCCTGTGGGTGTTGCAAGGAGAAGTGACTGCTGCTAGGATGAATCCTTTATCCAATGGCCTGTGCTTCTCTTTCCTTGCTTAGTTTGGTTTGTTTTTTCTTTGTGGAGAGCAAGCTCGGAACTGTAAGATCCCTCCAGGGTGTTCTTGGCTGTGAAGGAACACAACATCATCATCCCTGGGCTCTTCTGGTCATTGTGTAAATTGGCTTTTCCTTGCTTTGGGAGATGACACTCCACTGGTGTACAGCAATCATTGCACACGCCAGTGGCACCCTCTCCAGAAGACCCGATGTTCCTGGAGGATCATTCTTTGATACCTGTTGACTCTCCTCGGTGTTTCCTGTCCAGCCTGGTCCCAGTACAGCTTAGGGCAGTCACACACAGGTCCCAGCCCAGCCCCTGCCCAGACTCCTGGCAGGGGATGCAGCAACTCGCCCTAGGGACTGGTATATGCTCTGTGTGTGCTCCTGCCCTGCCACAAAACACTGACCCACGCTCACAGCCACTGTCTAGTGCCCTCCCTGTGGTCCCTGTGCCCAGCGGGGGTCTAGCACAATTTTTGCTGTCCCTGAGACTCTGAGTGCCTTGGTCCCCCTGGAGTTGGAGTAACAGTGCTGAGCCCTGAGCCCGTGCCTCAGGTTCTGCTCTGTCTGTGCTTTCCTGGAAGGGCTCGCTCTTTCTCCCTCCTCCCCGGGCCTTTCCACAGCCACTGAGATGCAGAATGCCCCTCTGTGCCGCCTGCTTGCACTAGGTAAATTATTTGTGTAATGGGCTGGGGTTATTTTTTAAAGTTGGCAGAGTAGCTGTGAATCATCAAATCTCCCTGAATTCACTCCTCACAAGACGCCCACAAAAGACCCCATTGTGCGGAGCAGCGATGGGAGGGAGCCGGGGCGGACAGAGGACCCACTCAGCGGCTGCGGGATGCGCGGGGTCCCGCGCCGCCTGCCCTGGGATGTCCCGAGCGCTCAGCCGGGACCCCTGACCCAGCGCCTTAACCTCTGGGCTTGCTTCTGCTGCAACGAACACTTTCCCCTTTTTCCTCAGGTTTAACAAGAAGTGACAAATCTGCTCCAGCGCACCGCGCTGTGCCAGCGGCGCCCGGACGGTGCCGAGCCCCGGGCTGCGGAGGGGCCGCTCCGGGACGGGGACACGCGGGGACAGCGACGCATCCCGCGCCGGGCGGGGCCGGGCCGAGCCGAGCCGTGAGGGGCCGCGCCGGGCCGTGC